CCCTGAGTCTATATTTCAGAATAATAAAAAAATTTCGTTAAAAAAAAATCAGGACACTTTTTTTTAAGTCCCATTTTCGTGAATTATTTTTCGATCCAACGAAACAGAAACATAAAATTTTAAATTCCGACAGAAGTACCTGTTTGATGACTGAGTACAGGGAAAATCCTACTTTTGAAATATGCCTCATGAGCGTAGATTATAGGAGGGAAGTATTGCAAAATATATTCTCCACCCTTACAAAGAGGGACACTTGAAGAGATATCAAGTTAGGCACACTAGATATAATAGAAGTAATGATTTTGATAAAAATCAAGACTTTCGTCCCCATATGTCACGTATTCCAATGGGATTTACTTTAAGTACGTGTTTGCTATTTCGCAAAGAATAAATGAATTAATCGCTATCCAAGGTATTGCAGCGCCGAAGGCGCGACCACAGCGAGTTTGTTTGCCCGAAGGGCAAACAAACTCGCTAGTATTTCAATATTCTCCATGCTTGGATGTGAATTCTTAATTGGCTATTTCGACGAATTTCTGAACTCTTCATTTTTCAGGGTGACTCCCCTTCGAATGCTCCGTTTGGGTTCTATTTTTTTGCTTTTCTTTATCTATCTCTCTGATGAAAATATGAATTTCCTTGAGATCATATTTACCATATCCGAATCCAAAATGATGACTTTCCCTCACAGAATCAATATTTAAACACTACTTCATCATTACATCCAAAAATGAACTGCCTATAAGAAGGGCAGTCACTACACTGAAAATTTTTAGCTTTAAGGAGTAAAGTTTGAAATTGTTCGGGTTCAATTCAACTTAAGAGGATTTCACTTTAAAAGATGATGCGGACTTATGAAACTCACTCTCCCCTATCATTATTTGCAAGAAATATAAGTAATGAGTACCGGGGTTGACTGTGATTGGAATGGAAGTACTTCATCTTCCCTCGACATTTGAGTTTGAGAGGCTGGAGGGGCTGGAGACTGGAGTCTTTTTTTACTTGCGCCATGTTGTGCAGACTTCTTCACATTCACCAACTGTTGCAGCTCCTCGACCTATCAGAACCCAGCCTCTAGTCTCGAGTTGCTTCAAGAAACAAATGAGAATAGAATGAAATGTGAAACCTTTTCCTTGAGCTCCTTTTCGATCATATGTTTATCTCGCTCTAACTCTCCATATGCATTCTGTTCCCTCTTGACTTGGTCCTCAAGTTCTTTTACCTTCTTCTCCATGGTCATATACTTTGCGGCCTGGAATCAAGGGTCATTTTCTCTTGCCCCCGATTCGTTAGAAAACATTACATATGGGTCTGCCATACGTGTAGGCCTGTCACTATGTGAAATGTACAGTATTATTCTGCCATACATGACGAAACAGCATATGAAGGCTCCAATTATTAGCCTGAGTCAGTTGCTAAAAATTCCTTTAGCCAAAGAAATGCATTCTATTTTTTTTAGATGTATTTGTGTGTGATGAAAATTTTGGATTTAGTATTTCATGACACCTCAGAGTGGAGTCACTAGCTCTAATAGCTACAATCCTATCATGAAGCAGAATCTATCAATTTATTCACATGCTTATTCTATATTGTGCATTAAATGAAAGCCTAAAATTAGTTTAAGTCACCCCTAGATTACAGAACTCAGAAAATAAGTCACGGCTATTTTTGGACCATGTCCGATGTGACGTGAGAGTTTATTTGAAAACAAGAAGTCAGTATAACTATGTTCGTTATATTTGTGAGATCGTTCAAATATGGAGCATTGACTTGGGCTGATTTGAAACTAACAATGCATATTGGAAAACCCATGCTAGCATCGATTCCAGTATTCCAATTCAGTCTCCAAATTTACATTTCCATCATTTCCATAAGTACCATGAGAATGGTGCGAATGCTCTATGATGAGAATGACTAATTCCCTCATTCTTCCATTCTTTCAGATAAAGGATATTATGAGCATTTCGTTCAGAAAAAGTAAATTGCAAATTTAGTACGTGCTACGTATCTTCAGACCACTTGGCGCGGACAGACCCATATGCCAAAAGGGGTAGGAATGTGAGACCTGATCTATGCTTCCCTTTAGCTCCTCCTCCAGCATACGTTTATCTCGCGCTATCCCACAATTTGCATTCTGCTCATTCTTGAGCTGCTCCGCAAGGTCCTTTGCTCTCTTCTTCACGGTCCGCAGTTCCAGCTGCAGCTTTTCTACCTGGAATCATGAATTATTCTCCTACATCCGATCCCATCAAGATGATGAAACGAGAGTGTATGAAAGACCTTCTCTTTGCTATCCTTGAGGTCTTTCTCAAGCTTGCGTTTCTCTCGCTCTGTCTCTTCATACACTAACTTAATGTTCTCCTCAAGTTCTCTATTCCTTCTCTCAATTTCCGCTTTTAGCTTCTCTGAAGCCGCCATTTCCTTCGCCATTTCTTCGATCCGTTTTTCCAGCGCTGTTTTCTCATTCTCCAGCTGAGTGTGAATAAATGCATGGTGATGAAATCTCATGAAATAGTTAGTCCGCATGGCCTGTTCTCCATGATGAGTAATGTTTTAATGCATTGAAGTCAAGTAGTCTAACTTCATAGTATATGCAGGCCCGTAAGTTGCGAATGGGTCATAAATAGGGTACTATTTTGAGCTTAACTGGGCGTTTGTAATAGACCACTACTTCCGTGTGGACTTCCTTATGTTCAAAGCAAATGGAAATTTGGCGGCTTATGCGCCAAGATGTATTTTATGGCATAATATTTATTTTCGCAGAACCACACCATTATTTAGGCTCGTTTTTAAGTTCATCGAAATTTAGGTTTAATTTTTTTAGACACAATTTCTTCTTTATAAACGACCATAACCACTTCTTGGAACACCTCCATCAGCGAAAAAGTATGGACCAACAAGAGTGTAACATGTCAGGATATTTTGTCAAATTACCTGATTACAGACTGGATTGACAAATGATTTTCTCATTCACCAAGACCCGGTCACTTTCTCGTTGAAGTATACGAACTTTCGTAAAGGGCAGAAAACATTGGCTTCCATGCAGTGACTTAGATCTCTTACCTGCTTGAATGCATTGGTGGCCATTGTCCCTCCATTCCTCAACATGCTAAGATCTTCATTCTCATCTACCCTATTAATGAAAAAGGGCATAGATAAATTCCAGAAGGTGAGAGGATCTCTTCGATTAGCAGAAGATCAATTGCTCGAAGCCCCGCCATTCGACGTAATGTGGTATAATTTTCCTGAAATTTTCCTAATTTGTTCTTGGGATATCTTTCCGAAGAAAGGAATTTCAGGACATTTCTATCTTGGCTTAATTTTTAAGCCAGTGAAGCCTTCTTTAAACAAGAAGCGTGCTGTCACATGCGTTTTCCTTCTCCCAGTCACCATTAAACACACAGTGCTAGTCAAAAGTCCTTTTGAAGGTTAATAGCGTCCCAACGCTTGATCTGATCCAGATGCGGGTTTTCACAATTTGAAAGACTCGACAATTCTGTCTCAAAATTGCAGCTTTTTTTATTTATTTTGCTTATGGTGCATTTCGGAAACGAAATTCCTGCTATGGGGGTTATACAGGGTGGTTTTAAAACACTTCTTAGAATCCGGTTCAAAAAACTTTTATTATGACATTACAGTAGCCAAATTTGTTCAGAAAATGTGGAAGACATAGGAGATTAATGTGGCCTCATACATCAGAACGTGAGGTGTTTGATGTGAATTCCGTTTCCATTAATCATACGACGCCAAACGGAGAGAATAATTACAAATAACAATGAAATAACATGCCTTAGCGCGAAAAAAAAAAAACTTTTCTCCTGGTTATTCCCGGTGCCCATTGATGCATCTGTATTTTGTACTAGCGAGTTTGTTTGCCCAAAGGGCAAACAAACTCGCTATGGTCGCGCCTTTGGAGCCCCTTTACCTTGTATAGTGATTAATTCATTCATTTTTTTGCGAAATGGGAAACTCGTATTTGAAGTAGGGTGAGGTGGGACAAAAGTAACAATGGGGTAATTGTAACAATGCTTTATCTTTTTGCAAGTACTTCAGATACAATTTCCCTATTTTGTGTCCATAACCTGTCAATCATCATCCTTTGATGAAATATATTTTGAGCTTCTCTGTGATTTCCTAAGAATGTGTTTATTTTAATTTTGCACGCCTTGATGAAAAAATTAATAATCCAAATTTTTTATCTTTTCTTGCAATTTCGTATTTCTTCCCAACTAATGAAGTCTTAAATGTAAAACTGTTACATTATCTGTCTGATCTTCATATCGACCTCATGATCTCAAAATTTGGACTTTGGCCTTATCACATCACTTGTTT